ACCAGCCACACCAGCCACACCAGCCAAACCAGCCACACCAGCCACACCAGCCACACCAGCCACACCAGCCACACCAGCCACACCAGCCACACCAGCCACACCAGCCACACCAGCCACACCACCACCCACACCACCCACACCACCCACACCACCCACACCACCCACACCACCACACCACCCACACCACCCACCACCCACCACCCACCACACACCACCCTCCACCCACCACCCACCACCCACCAAACACCACACAGCATACACCACCACAACCGCCACCATCACAAACACCACCACCAGCACCACCGCCAACAACAACAGCAACAACGACCAGACAACAACAACAACAACAACAACAACCACCTTTACCACATGTAGAGACAAGCAGGGAGGAGACATGCAAACTGCCATCCGTTGTTGTGAGGACTGGAACTGGTAATACACCCGAAAGCTTGTCGCTCAGGAAGTGGCCGTGGGCACACCCGTTGGCACCACGCCTGCTTCACGAGCGGCTGCGCTTCACACGCCCCTGGGTTATTGAGACAGGCATCTTCCATCTATTTGCATCCTAACTCAGGCCTCTGGGTTCGGACCGCCCCACGAAGCCAACAAACACTTGAGGCTGCAAGAGGCTATGGCAATGGCAACAGCTGAAGATGCTACATGGGACGTGGCTTGCCAGCAGGTTTGGCAGCTCACAACTTCAAATCCACAGATTGGCCCAACTTCAGACACCTGAATCTGTGTGGGCTCAGGAGAAGCAGGTTGCCCTGGATCAGGTGCCTGAATCGAAATGCTTTGGGCATACAGGTCGAGGAGCTGTTCATCTTCTTTGAAACAGTCACGGAGTTCATATTCCGGATTTGGTAATGTGGCGCTTCGGGGCAGGGATTTGTGCAGTTGTATCAACGCTGAAAGGGATGCTTCCGATATTCTTCAGATCACAGTCATATTACTGCAACAAGGTACCAGAAATACTGGTATTCCTTTGATAGATGAAGTTCAAGTTTGCGCCCATGTTAGTCGATCTTTGTAAATTCTCGAGCCTTACTTGCATCCATATCTCGGTCACTGAATGTCCACGTATGTGCCCTAAACCCTAAACCCTAAACCCTAAACCCTAAACCGTTAGGTTCACACACAGCAGCTCCGAATCCTCATCAGCCACCGAAAAGTTAAACAGACGGTGCGATGCAACAAACCCAGACCCCCGGGCGTATCTAGAAAGTAGAACCCCTAATTTGGGACCCTATACTACTAAGGGCTCTTTATAGGAACCCCCATTAAGGGATCTACTTTTTGGATCCTTCCGGGGGTCTGGGAAGAGGAAGGCCTCAGTCTTGCAGGTTGGCCGCCTCCTCGCCGGTGGCGCCACCGCGAACCTGCCGATGACGTTGCGACAGGTACTCGTGGCTCATGTGTGATCCGATAACAGCGTGGGTTGTCCAATGATAGTGCATTGGATCAGTAGCATGGAAGAGCAGATTCCCGCATCTTGCATCCAATCTCAGTCCCCATCAATTGCAACGATAGCTGTACTAGCAGTGCCCGACACCCTATACTCTACGAGTTTGTATCGCCTGCAAGGCCCAGACTTAATTCGAAGCTGTCTGCAAGAAGCACACCTGCCAGGAAGCCGAAGCCTGGCAGTGCCGACAAGATGAGAGGTCGAGCCGCGCAGCAGTTTACTGGGTTGAGGACTTGCAAGGGGCTGGGCTGGACACGCGACGCCTGCGGGGACGTCTCCTCTTGTTTTTGTTTGACATGTGTGCCCTCATGCCTGGATGTCTAGGCAGCCCCGCACTGGACCGGCGGGACCTGTGCAGGTTGCGCCTCGCGCGATCTTTGGAAGCAGCAGCTGAGAAAGCGGCGGCGCTGGAGGTGCTGGGTGTCTCGTTTGAGGGAGCCTTTTAGGGTTTGGGATTTAGGGACCGGTCGAGGATCTGCGCCGCTGGCTGTAAGCAGCTTGAGAGGTCAGTCAACAACGACTGAGATTCTGTTCTAGTCTCGAACCTGACGCCACCTTACTACTCACTGTTGCATATGTTTTGTCCTGAGAGAAGGTACATTTATTCGAATGATGATGATGATGATGATGATGATGATGAGTCAATATTCTTCTTGTCGTTGTCAGGCTTTATCTTCATCACGGTGAGGTTGCAAGCATTACCACACGTTCAACGGCAATGTAAAGCCCGCAAGCAGAAACACATGTATAGGCGTATCTATATATACACACGCCAACACATGTATGTATGTATGTATGTATGTATGTATGTATGCATGTATGTATGCATGTATCTATCTAGAAATTTCACGTATACATATATGATACAAGGCGCTGTGGCTCTTGGGTCGTTTGAGCCCCGCCGCTTCTCGCAGGATGGCGCTCGCGAGGCGATGGGCGAGGATCCGGGCACTGCAGCGATTCGCAGAACCCCTGAGATGTTCTTAGTATTTATACACATCTATGTATGTATATATATATATATGTGTGTGTGTGTGTATGTATGTATGTATGTATGTATGTATGTATGTATGTATGTATGTATGTGCATGTACAAATTCGTACAGTCCGCAGCAAGTGGGAATTTCGGAAGTCTTCAAGCTTCATTTGAAGCATCGGCGTTCGGTCGGGTGCGTTTCCTCGCGCACAGTTTTGTCATCAACTGGGTTCCAGATGTTTAGAACATGTCTGTACTACCGGGTGCCATGCCCGGAAGTTTGGATGTAATACCCCTACACCCTGCAGTGAGCAAGCCGCTGAAAAGGACGGCACGACGAGCGACGACAACCCTCTGCGAGAGCTGTTTCCTGGCTTGATGTAGGCGCACAAGTTGTCATGTCTTCCCGTGCCAAGGTCTCGGAAGGAAAATGCCATGTGGCTGGTCATGTTGACAGGTCGCAATCCACATTTTTTTTATAAACCCTAGACAATGCTTCTCCCCAAGGGCGCCCGATCAGTGCTAGAACTTAGGATGGCCCGTGCCAAGCTCTCCGTAGATGCTGGCGATCGGGAGGCCCAGTCGTGGGGACTTTTGTCCCTACTGTCGACTATTTGAGGTTTTTTGTCGGTGAAGGCTTTGCAGATCATGGCATGGTGATGAGCAAGAGGGCCTCAGTCATGCGAAGTGTTCACGCGCGCACCGCGGCTTTCGTTGTCAGCAGATCAGGTCTGGCGAGTGGCTGAACACAGATCCCTGAGAGCATGAACTGTCCCTGTGTTTGTGTGCGCGCGCACGTGTTCCAAGGTACCTGTGACCTCACACTTCAACTCAACTTCAGCCAGCCAGATATAGTTTCCGACAGTCTGACTGACTTCCACACCTCTGTGCGCAAACAAAGTCTTGGGCTGCTTCAGTTTTAATTCAAAGGTTCGGGCCACAAGCCTTTCCGAATCGCCTTTGCAACAGCTGCCCAAGCGGACGATCACGAGCCAATCGCCTCCCAAGCCCAATGCCGCTTTCGGCAGGCGATGCTGGCTGAGGCAGCTCGGCGCGCTAGCACGTTCCAGGAAGAACTGGATGCCCAAAGGCCATCGGGCTCTGGAAATTTATGTCGACGGCCCACCCGTTCCATTCACCTGGAGGCTGCGGCTACAGGCTCGTCGAAAGCAATCCGATGCAGACTCGCCACTTCAGCTGCACAGGTCTGCACAGCTCAGGAGCAGAGGCTTTCAGGTCGTCCCTTCTAGGCCTTCAGGTCCAGGTGTTCTGTCGGTAACTTGGCAAGGTCGCTGCTGACTGCTGGAGCACTGCTGGAGGAGCGTGACGCGCTCGCTGGGCTCAAGGACAAGGCAGGGAAAGGAGAGGGCCCCCCTTCCCGCAAAACTTAGGCTCAGCAAGGTAGAAGCCTGGACAACTCAGGAGGGGTGGCGGGGGGTGTCTCACAAATTGAGTCGAAGCTTCGGCGCCAGGTGGCTGCGGAGTTTGCCGCCCTCCCGGGTCTGCGCGAGGACGGTGCCGGCGACGAAGCCTGGGATTCGGCTCCTCGGATGGAGGGTTCGATTTGGGAGAACTGAGAGCTTGTACAAACTTGTACAGCGCATGTTTTCTGAGAGGGTGTGACGGAGTCAGTTAACAGCAGTCTCTGCGAAGAGAATAGATGGCTGTTCAGCGATTCCCGTCTTCTTTGCTTTGCCTTCGAGGCCTGCGATGCCTTGGAGGAAGCATGGAAGCATCTCTCAGCAGACGTGCAGTCGGCAACGCAGGAACCGATGGGATCAGACTCACTCAGCACGTCGGGTAGGTCGTCTTCGGCTGAAAGCAGACTCTGAAATCCGTTTCCCCTCTGAAGAGCCCTAGCCCCCAGAGAGTCGAAGCTGGTTTAGGCTTGCCTTGCATTGGTTGAGTTCTGTTGCTCCTTGCCGCAGTCGCCGAGCAGTTCGGCGGCCCCATCGAAGGCTATTTTGTGGATACGATAGCTTCAGACATGGTTCAATCTCGACACCCAGGCGCCCGTCCCAAAAGAGCAAAGCGATTCCGATCCCAAGCATATCTCCAGAAACTCAGTGATTCCGTCGTGCCCACGAGGAGGCTCAGTCAGCTTTGACCGCAACATTGGGCGGTAGCAAAGTCGCCAAGGCGCGACGCAGGGCTGGATTGTAGTTCGAGAAGCCCCAATGCTTGCGGACACAATCGTTTATGTAACGGGAGAAGGTCCGCCCCGCAAAGTGCCAGAGGTTTGTTCCGATATCGCTGAGCCCTTTGGAAGGTTTGCAGGCTTTGCTAGCTGAGTCTTCGTTACCGCATGCAGCGCGGCAAAGCTTTCGAGACATGCGGGTGATTTTGAGTTCTATTTGTTGGAACTGTTGTGTGTTGATGCGGCTTCATGACTGGACCAGCCAGGCTGTCCCCTGAAGTTCCATAACACTATTCTCGACAACACCTCCGAGGATGCCTTCGGTAAGCGACTCTCAAACAGCCACAAAGAATTCTGTCGGCGAAACTTCTACATGGGACTGCTAATCCTTTGGACATGATTTTCACTGCCTCCGCTGCTTCTGAAGAAGCCACATGAAAGTTGCTCCGAATATGCTCCGCTCCCTTCTGCTGGACCTGTCTAGATGAGCGCACCTCATGCGCCAGCGCTAAATTCGGACGGACGGAAGAGAAACAGCCGGGCACGTAAGGTATTCACTCACACACATTCCAATCAGGTGCAAAAAAGGTCGCCCATTTATCCCTGGAGGACTCGCCCAGTCAAGTCAATAATTACTGCACGACGACCAGGCCCGAAGCCTCACGGATCTGGCGGCATTGCATGGGTAGAGCCCAGGCAACCGGGAAAACAACATCAAGCGGTACGGAAACCAAACCCCGATTGCGATCATATGCGATCAAGATCGTGCTTTCGACCTGGCCAATTTCTCATATGCCCCCAAAGAGAAGGCATCTTTCGTGCCTTTCACTTTGACATACTCTGCCAACGAGTTCTTCAGGCCCTCCTTGTCATACTGCGGAATGGACGATCTTTTCGGGGCCATGACATCTAGATCGAGCCTTGAGCCGTCAAGCCTGCATTGGTGTTTCAAGATTCAGCAGCCATGCTCCACAAAAGAATGCCTCTCGAACAGAAGCTGGGGCAAGGACGGGCGATCATGAGCAGTCAGGCGAAGCAGGAAAAGCATTCCATCGCTTCTGACGAAGAATCAAAACCCACTACTTTGTGCGACCCCTCTCATATGCTTCAAACAGAAATCTATACCTAAAGCGGGGCATGAGCACTCGTGGTCACAAGCATGCCTGCCCATGCACCAAAACAGGGCATGTCGCTCGATCGAATAGCTTCTACCAAACCATTGGCCCGGTCAGTATGGATTTGTGCAACCCATGCATGACCTGGACAACGGCATCTGTCATCTACTAACCAAGCGGCTTCGACAGGTGTATACTGCATTTTCCACTCTACACCCAGCTCTAAAAGCCTAGCGAAAGCATTGATGAGAACCTAGCGAGGAACCTATAGGAGAACATCGCACCACACCCGGTTCCTAGCGGGTCCACTAGGAAATACCAGGCGCACCTTGTATTTTCAGGCGCAGCAGATTCGATTGGTAGTTTCAAGCGCCAAACCCGGTTTTTTCAAGCGTTCGATGCTTAGGGCTCTGCAACTATCCCAAAATCCCCTACACCCCAAGACTTCAACCTTCCAATCTTCCGCTTATTCTATTTGAACCAGTGCCAGTCGCTGGAAGACACGGATGCCGAGCGCCGGGCTGCACTGGCAGAGGTCGGGCATATGCAGATAACAGCTTTTGAGCGCAGGTCTCGAAGGGAAGCAGCCCATGGCAGCACATGAGTGGAAGGTGTCACAGAGCACATTGTGGCACCCAGCAAGTACTGAAGGCAGCTCGCCGTGCTGCAGCCTTCGATGAGGCATCGCGGGAGGGGAATCGAGTCATTTTCCAGAATGAGAGCAGTGCAGCTTGGCCTTTGAGTCGAGTCGATCTGGAAGGGCAGGTGTAGGTAGTTGCTCGATGTCGAATTGGGTGCCCTATGGAATCGGAGCAGCTTTGGACGTGGCACCTTCGAAACTCTGAAGGCTGCGGGCTGCTCAGCTTAGGGGAATTCAGGGATGACGGCCGCGTGTTGCGAGTGCACTGATCTGCAGGTAACTACCTCTTGTGTGCAAAGCCCTAGCCAGAATCGGGTGAGGGGTCAATGCACGATGTCAGAAAACTGTCGGTTTGAGACGGTTGTTGGAGGGAGCTGTTCCAGACGCAAGCTTTGACCGTGCGGGTGGTCAGGAACTTCAGAAGCAGAAGCAGAAGTTGCAGAAGAGGGCCAAGGTGGGAAGTCGGTTGGGAAGCTTTCCAATCTTCGGTTCCGGATCCCCTTGACATCAAGGCTTCGGTGTTCAGGCCACTGATGCAGTATTCTACAACATGTTTTATGTCTGTCTTATGCTGCCCCAAGGCTACCCAGGAACAGACCTCCCCCCCAAAGAAAAGCATTCTCAAGTGGACCTCAGGGCAAAGGGAGCCAAGCCGCCGCCCTGGAGCTTGGAAGGCTCCTCGAGGACCCAATTATTTTGTGCATGGGTTTGGTTCGAGGGTGACTGTGATTGAAAAGCAATGTTCGTAGCAGTGAGAGGCACCTCTAATGGGGCATGATGGTCATTCTGGCGGTCATACTGATCGAGATCAGGAAAGTTAGATCAGTGCGAGTCTACTGCTTCGAGAATAACGAGTTGCTATTGCATTCGTGAGTGTGTGGAGCTGAAGGCGCCGCAAACAGGAAGCATAGGCTCAAGTTTGGAGACTGCACAGCGTGCAATCGGTTCTGGGGCGATCTGGACCCGGGAAGAACCAGAGAACCCATGCCCGCAGCAGAAGAAGATGCGAGGCATATCGTTGGGGAGGTGACTCAGGTGAGTGAGCGCGAACCGGGCGGGGAGTGGGACTGCAGCAGATCTCAGGATGCTCAGGACATGCGCTGTGTGGGGGTTGAGCGCCCGAAAGCTGAAATCCCCAAAGAAGTTTCCACGAGATCCTGACAGAGCTCCTGCCAGCACAGGACAAGGAGGCGTACGAGGCGGGTAGAATGGCTGTTTGTATTGCAGGGACTTGGCTACAGGTTTTGGACCCCAAAGCCCTGAACCCGGAACTCTCCCGGACCCCTCACGGCCCTTTCAAAGCCTCTCGCAGGCCCTCGAGTCTGAGAGAGCTGCTGCCCTGGAAGAGTGCCAGAAGCCGGGGAGCTCAGAGGTGAAAATTAGATGGCCCAAGGGTTTCTGATGGCTCCATAGAACTACTGTGTCTGAGAAGTAAACGAGCATGGGGTAGATTGGATGAGAGTTTAAGAAGGGAGAGGAGGAGGTTGAGAGCGAGGCGTCGAGTTTGGAGGCTGAGGGCCCACATGCAGCGTGCGGAATCCTGGGCACCAGATCTGAACTGGCAAAGGAGCTGCAAGGCAGACGGCCTGTAGCACAGCAAGACAACCAACACGTCCGCTCCATGCTTTGCTGGAGCCGTGTTTTCACACGTGTTTCTCGCGTACCGTTCGCAGCCTTCTCCGAGATCCCTTTCCCTAAGGTTCATGGCGGAGGGCAAGATGAGTGAGAGCGAGGCTAACGACTGGGCTCAGCTTGTCGAGGCGGCCCGATGCGGGGATGAAGGGCTTCATCCCGCTTCGTTTTTTTGGTTTCTCTACAGTAAGTGCTTCTCATGGTGGCCAGCTCCCTTGTGAATTCAGAGGCTGTGCTGAAGCACGTGCGAGGCCCTGGATGCCGCCAAAGCGGATTTGGCTGAGCTCGCTCCGGAGACGAGTGCCGAGGCTGGCGCGCTGACCCGCCCCAAAAAAGGCGTTGGTGTACTTGGAGGTTCATGGGTAGCTATAAGTGGGATTACAAGTCCCCTAATATGGGTTATAAGTATACTTACCCTGCTTATAACCCTATTTATAACTACCCATGAACCTCCAAGTACTGGATCCGAGCACCGAAGCTGTTTGCAGCTGACCTTGAGCCTTAAGAGGCGCTTCCCAAGTCCAGCACTTGGGCCGCCATCGCCGCGAAGGTGAAGACCGGAAAGCTCGAGGTCCGCTTTCAGGGCAAATCTCCACTGGTCCACAACTCCTGCTGATTTTTGGACGGGTGAATGGAAGTAACCTAAAATTGAATCTGCCTTCTAGGAGCGCATCTTTCCGCCCGCCTGATCTGATGCCTGATGCTCCCGAGAGCCGAGCCATTCCGGAGCCCCTAAGCCTGTTGGCACATGCAGTAAGCCCGTTACTTCCGAATGCCGGTGGAGGTTGACAGCCAGGAGCAGATGGCGATGTTGGCTGAGGCGACCCGACGCCCGGGCACCCAGAGATGCGCCAGATGAGGCTCAGGAAATAGATAGGAGCCTCCGAATTCCATTTGGGCCGACATCAACTGTTGCACAGAAACAGAGGCAAATCGTGCTGGGCATTTCGGATCGTGAGGTGAATGCTGACTGCATGGATCTTTCACCGATCCTGAGACGGCCAGGTGCTGCAGCCTTTGATGAGGAGCTTCAGAAGCAGCGATCGCCACGGCCTTACGTTTGCGAGCTCGGCCCCCAAGTACGCACGTTGGGCTCAAGTCTTGGATCTTGGCTCCGAGGGCTCCCAAATCGAGGCCCCACTTCGTACCCCTCTAAGTCAGAGAGAGAGCTTACCAAGGATGCTGGATCTCCACAACCAAGATGATTCCGACTCTTCCCAATCCTTAACTCGCTGTGGAAGTTGCAGGCTTCGACACGCAGCCTCGGGCCAGGAAAAGACACCCCTACAACAGGCATTCAACAGGCAAATGCCCATGCAAGATCTTTTTTAGTGCTCCTGCCTCAGCAGGAGCCCAGGCAAGGTTGCCAATCTCTGTTGCAAGCGACGCACTGGCTAGCCTAAAGCTTCATTTGGGCCCAGCTAGGCAGATGAAGAAGCGAAGGAAGGCTTTGCAGAAGGGCGCAACTCCCGACCAGGCAGTGCAGGGACCGTTGCTTTTGGCTTTGGCTGGGCTGCTGCTCTAATTCATGCAGCTCCAGAGGTAGCCGTGCTGCTGCACACAAGCAAACCAAGTTCGGCGAAGTAGACGACCTGCAGTCAAGCCCGTCGCGGAAAGTTCCCTGTGAGAGCTTGTTAGTCGGAGTGGAGGGTCTGGTGCGGATTTCAGGTGGACCCCCTCGAGGCGTGCAGGACTCTTGCAGACGAGCAAACTCTAAAGAAGCTGGCGAAGGAGCAGGCCGAGGGCGAGATTTGCCATCGATTCGGGCGACGTTGCTACAAAACACCGCGCAGCTATGCCTGTTTGACATGGAGGGTGCATACTGTGCCAATGTTGGCCACTCAACCGAGGGCTAGGCCTGAATGTATATTTATACATATATATATATATATGTAGAACTGGAGTCAATTTTCGTTCTGTCGTGAAGCCACCATGTGCTCACAGTCAGCCCTAATTGCCAATCTGGTCGTGGCGAGGCCGAAGCCTGTGCGCAGTGTGAGGCTGCAGGGATTGGGTTCCGCACTTTTTTGCCTCGTGATGATTTCAAGGAGCGGCAACTAGCCGAACTCAGGCTGACGGATCTCAACCCTACGCCATCACCGAATGCGCTTGCTTCGGGATGTCCATGAGTCGTTGTGCACCCCGGAGACGAGACGCTGTTTGTACATGTATTTTCCGGACCAACATGAAAATGCGTAGCCGATCTGGAAGCGGGAAGGCATTGGCTGCATCTGCCGAGGGCGACACGAAGGAGGCCCAAAGCTTGCTTACTAGTAGCTGTGTTTGGTTGACGCTGACCGAGAAGGGAAGGACATTAGAAGAAATTGGCGCAAGGAGTTCTCCATCGAATGCTGAAGAAATCGAGCTCTCAGCAGCTCAATCTTGCAGGGGCTTGGAATCAGGCGCACGATGGGGAAGCAGCACTCCCCTTTGGTCTGAGGGTTCGAGGGAGCGACGGACTCGGAAGCTTGATGTCTGGACTTCTTGATGTCTGGACTTCGACGAGTTTGAGGCAGGAAGGGATGCGGCTGATGACCATGCACACTCTTGATGTGCCCGGACACTGCATAGTGACCATAGTGATCAGACACCTGAAACGGATACACATCTACTGGAGCCGAGGCTGAGAAAAATAAGCCAAATAGCCCAAGATACCCCCGGCGGCTCCCCTCTGAATCGGGGCACTTTGGCTTCTCGGAGGCGTGGACCGAGTTGGGAGCCGCTTGGGCGGGGATGTCGCCCTTAGGCTGCACCATGCCCTTTGGAGTTTGCTTCGGTTTAGTTGGATACAGGGTCTTAGCAGCCATATACAGCAGCTATCAGAGCTCGTTTGGCCAGGGAGGGACCCAGGCACCATTTCCTGAATTTTCCTTCTTCTTGGCACATCCTGAGCCTTAGAAGCTTGAAGCTGATACCCTGCTTTTTCTACCCTGCAGACCCTGCATGTCCGCTCGTTAACCTGCAAAGCTGCATATCGAGGAAAGACATGGCCAAAGCCGAGAAGGCAGGCTGTGCTGTGGGACCTAGTCTGGTGGCTTGCATGCCCCTGCTTTCTGCGCGTACATCCCTTCATCTATCCATCGGGAAGAGAGCGCGACGGCGAGACGTGGCCATCAGATTCGATGCACTGTGCTTTGCAGATGCCAGCATCCGCATGCCCGAAGGGAGAGAGATGCAGCCGCCATCACACAGTAGCTCCTCGACTCTGCCCAATGAAAGGAAGCCCGCGAGTCTGCGAAAGTCGTGACCGGAGAAGCTGGTAGCCCGGAGCTTAGGTCTTAGGTGCCTGGGCGGAAAGACTCTGAAGATTTGGATGCTAGGGGATTACAGGATGTATCTCAAGAACTCCGTCCGACCTTGCCATAATCGACAGCACAAAGACCTCGGACACTTCTTGTTTCATGTTGACCCCACGTCATGAGGTTATTATTCCGATGAGGTGGCAGTCATGCGACCTTGCAGTCTGCAGATGTGCAGTTTTTTGATGTTTTGTAAACGACCACAATTTAGATGCAGCAAAGAGGAGCGGGACCTCCAAGTCAGCATGCCAAGTAATTGCTGTCCACATACTTTCTCCAGGCCCATTCGTTTCAAGATGCCTCACAAGCTCCTGAGCCGTGGAGTCTAAGGTGGTCTGAGCGAGGCGCTGGGGCTCGTGGATGAGGCTTCTGCGTCTTGCCAGTCTTTGAGTGTCAAAGTTTTCGTGATCGGAGAGGGTTGCTTCAAGTTGCAGTTTGTGTTGATAACCTCAAGACGTGCGACCAACTCTGCCGGAGACCCTGCGGGAGGCCACGGGTGGTGACATGGCTGGAGACAGCTCCAGGCGGATTCGCAGGGATAGCAGAAGCCCAGTTTGACGTGACCTGCTTTTGGGCCTAGTTAGATTATGACAGGCAGGAGCACGGTTGAGCTCTGAACACTGCTTGGAGGCTTGGAAGCTTACCAGGCTGAGTAAGCGGCCCCCGCTTGCAATGCGATGTTAGGGGCGACAAGTATTAATTTTCTGACTGCTGCCGCCGTGCCGCTCTCCAAGCATGTAGCTTTGGCCTGCCGCTGGGCCTGATCCAGAGAGCCTTGGCAATGCCTTGAAGGGAAAGATTCAGGTCGCCCCCCTATAGAATACCATAGAGGACTTGAAGGCGGCCCCGGGAGTTGCATTCTGGCATCCATGATCACTGTCTGACGGCTGGGCTGTTGTGGCCTGCTGTCGACATACGTCCTTGGAAGCTACTCGCTATCGCTGCCAAGCAGACGATGGGCACCGAATCTGATAATCCGCATTGGGGTTGTGGTCTTTGTTTAAGCAGCTTCAGTCCCACGGTGGGGGCCCGTTTCGTTGTTGTGATTTCAATAAAGGCACTGGCCACTACAAGCTTGAAGTGCCACAATCCATGAGCGGCAAAGCTTGCTACGATTCAGTACGATTCACGACTCGTTCTCGAGTGGTCAACGCGCTTGCAGAGGCAAGGCAAGGAGCATCTGAGGATAATGGAGCGGCGCGCGAGCGCCCTTGTGGCCCTGGCATTCCTGTCGGTGGCTTCTGCAGCGCCCCTGTCGCACTTAAGGGGGCTACAAGCGGTACTGAGGGTTCGGGGATATATTTCAGAATGCCTTCTCCGTCAGCAGGGTTCAAGACAGGACAGACTCGTCTTTGGAGTTGGAGCTGCTCCAACAGAATCCAGAGACATGCTGCTCTTATGCTGCCAGCTCACAGCCCCAAGACCTCAACCATTCGAGGGCCTCATATCACTCAGCTCGCCGGTGGTGAATTTGTCCGTCTCTCCGCTCTCTCCCTCTCTCTCTCTCTCCCGCCCTCTCTCTCTCTCTCTGTCCCTCTCTCTCTCTCTCTGTCTATATATATGTATATATATATATATATGCGTATGTATAGTTTTTACCTGGAGCTGCTGGGTCTTCAGGAGGAGCACTCCAGGCACCTACGCTCCGGAGCACAGACACAGATCGGCGAGGCCAGAGTGTGTGTGTGTGTGTGTCTTTTGCGTGAGAGTGTTGGGCGTTGACGTCTAGGGCAAGTTTAGGTTTTTCTGGATTCCTGCGCTGCTTCCGCCAGGATTCTGAGTGAGAGGCTTGAGGTTCCTTGACCTTACAGGCAGACCGAAGAGTGTAAAGAGTATTAGCAAGGTGAAGGCCCACAGCCCGTTCATCGATGATTTGGAGCCCGTGGCGCCGCTGGACGCTGTGGCAGTGCTGGGAACTGCAAAAAGCAAGACGGAAGCTGTTTCGAAGTATTCCGCGATTGCGGGTATATTGCATCCAAACTTTAAAGTTGTGCACCCTACCGTGGCGAAGCCAAGTGACGACTGAAGCGACAGACAAGCGAAGCAAAAGCACCCAGCAAATTCGCGTGTATGTGGTGCTAGTATACGCGTTCAGCTTTTCGACCAAATGCATGTAGATACCAAGCTCCTTCGAGGCGCCTGGTGCCGTCGCCGCTGCGGGTATCCCTCGTCAGGGAGGGGCCCGGAGACCCGCACTTTACGCCCCATGGCTTTGCATGATCCGGGCTGCGACGCTTCCGGCAGAGATTTTCAGATTTGGGTGCCTATCTATGATTGCGAGCCCGCGCATGTCCACCACCTTTGCATAACTGCCAGCACAAATTCCATGCTTCTTCGCGTTGACCCTCGAGCCTTTTCAGGTGCCTCCGTACTTGTACCCGGACGCCTTCCCGGCTTCCGCAAAAGACATCTGCCACTGCGATGCGCCCAAGGAGGATCCGGCTTAACCTTGCAAGCTACACTGCCTCATTTCTGAGAATTAGCCTTTACATATGTATATATACACGTGTATAGATTCTGAAAACTGCAAGGAGAAGCTGACGAAGGAGGAGGAGCTTTGGGCCGCTGAGGTGGCAAAGCAGCTGAACCTCCCCTTGTCTCAGGCGAGGGCGTTTTGAGCACCGGGAACCCACGGGCCCGCCAAACATCCCTACTGTTGAGTTTTCTGTTTCAGGTGATGCATCCCGCAGACTTCAAAGGCGTCGCACACTGCGACTGCGGTGCTGCTGAGAAAGCAGACGGCCGATGCTTTGCTGCAGATCTTTGCATGAATGGAAGCCGGACAGTTGAATTTAGAAGCCTGTGTGTTTTTGGATGCCTTGCTTTCATTCTGGTCATGCGCCTATGAGGCGATCGGCTGTCAGTTTGTCTACTGTGTGTGCATTTGTGTGTGTGTGTGTTGGTGTTGCGTGCGTGAGATTCGAGGTGTTGATGTCGCACCCAATGACCCAAGCATTGTCGCCCCTGTAAGACCTCGCGTCGCCAGGAGAGGGCTCTAGAGGCTATATAGCCTATAGCTCTGATCACTCCAATCTGTGTACCCTGTAGCCTGAATTGCTTTAATCTGTGTACCCGCACAGCAGCTGTGTTGAGTGTTGCGCGAAGCCTCGTCAAGCATCTTACGTACTTCAACCCTAGACGCTGCGATACCAGTCGGACCCTTCCATTGCTGATCCTATTCCCTCAGCTTCACAAGCTGCATTCAGACGAAGGTGTCTTTCGCTATGTGAAGACCCAAGCTACGAACAGCTCTGGCTTCACGGTCGCCGGCGCCCGTTCTATCATTCGGTAATCTAAAAGCTCGGTTGCCTGTACTGATTCACTCTTCTACTGTATTGTGCTATCATGCGCAAGTTATCCATGTGATGTTCCTTGGGGGCAGTCGGATGGGAAGCAATGATTGGCAGGAGTACAAAGCACTCAGGCGTACATTGCTAGGTTGGTAAAACCATGTGTTTCACATTGCTTTAGCATTCTGCAGATTGGAGTCATCTCGCCGTCCGTTCTGTAATTCATGCATACATACATACCTACATACATATATACGAGCTCGAGCATACATATCATGTCATGCGATGTATCTGCACACATGTTCACGCGACACTTGCGTTGTTACATTACTCGGTGGTCACGCAGGAGCCAAACACAATTGTCTCATTGAGCAAGGTGCCGACCCGACCTTCCCACATGGCAGCTACTGGGAGCCGGAGGTCACCGTAGGGCAGGGGGCCGTGGGTTCTGCCTGGTTATGCGTTTTGACCTGATGTCTTCGATCCCATCAGTCCAATCGCTCGTGTAGCCATAAGAGACGAAGTTCCACAAGACCGCCTACGTGCTCTGCCAAGCACCGACAGTGAAAGACGGGAATTCTTGGAAGGCGGTGGATGCTTCAGGGCTCATGGCCCCTGCGGACCAGCTTCGGCCACAGGACGACTGAATTTTGTTCTGTCTCTCTCTCTCTCTACTATATATACATATACAAATATATATATATATATATATATATATGTATTATGGTATACTTTTTTTAATACACATAAACACACATACATATGTACTTGCATGTTATTTTGGAGTGTTTGAGGACATGTCAGTGTGGAAGCTTGAGAGGAAGCCTGTTGCAGAGAAACGGCTAGATGACATGACAGATGTGCTGCGGCGTCGGGGCGAGACGGGCAGCTACAAAGCCCCAGAAAATCAGATGTCGGACAGGATCTGCCGCCACAAGCGCCCTTCGACGAGGCTGAGAAAAGGGTCCGTGCTTGCTGCTCCCGTTTGGTCCGAAGTAGGTTTTTGGCCGAAGTGACGTTTCGGGGTCCTTTTGCTGGTACTCGTAGCTGGTCGCTGTCGGATCCGTGCTTCCACTGCCAGCCTGCAGCTCCTGACCTTATGACCTTAATACATCCCGAGCTTTCCAGGTGGACCTGACCTCGAACCTTGCGCAGCATGACAAGATCCCCAAGAAGATCGCAAAATACCTGGACCAGGCCTCCTGCATTCGTGGTGCGGAAATTTCGTGCATAGGAAACTCTCGTTGCCGTGCTGGCCCTGGTTCACAGGCAACTGTTACGCCTTGATCTGTATAGCACTAATGTACCTAATGTAACCACGAGATGTAGATCTCTTGACAGTCTTTGTGACGTTATAGTGCGATTGGATGTGTCTTCGCACACAAGCGTCGCCATGCTCTGAGGTGGAAAGCAGGAGTAGCAACTGTGACGATCCGAGCAAGCCCTGCTCTGCTGACTGCAGCGCCGGCGACGCAGTGTCCTTCGAGCTGGGTCCCTCGCCTGTTGCTCAAGTCGGGAAGCCAGGCCTCAGAAAGAGCAACTAACGCGACTGCACAGGGACAAGAAGCAGGGATCCAGGCTTGGGTCAGACTTGGGCACTTGGGCTTACGGGGTGCCTGCGACTGCGCTTGCATACTACCTCAGGGCTGTCCAGCCCAGGCAACACACGGCGTGCAGCCACGGTGCTGGCCACGGCTGCGGGCAATGCGCTGGAGAGGGCTATGTAATATACGGTGTTTTGTTTAAAGGCGTTCTAGTAGATAATAACATGCGGCGGTCTTTTGATAGATTTGTAAATTGGGCAGTCGGTCACTCCAAGAATCCTGTCCAATGCTTTGCATCTAGGGGCATTTACCCGCGCGGTTCTTTATGAACTGTTCGTGGTCGGTGAGGAGATCGAGTTTGCCACCGGCTTGGCTGCGGGCGACGTGTGTGCTGCGGAGGCCTTCTGCCAGCGCGACGAGCCCGTGCCCGGCACACATAGAGTTTTGATGTCAGGCCGGCTGCTCCCTCTTCCGGGTTTGCGCGCCGAAGCCGGGGCTCGGCGCAGGCGCCCCGCGGCAGTGCGTGGCTCAGGACGGCAGGAGGGTTGAAAGGGCCCGGCCGGGGCCCGGCTCCCGTCGACTGCTCGAGTGGGGGGGCGGCTCAGCGATTCGAAGCGGACCGAGACCTCTTGTCCTGCGAGGACTCCGATGAGCGATTGCCCCTTGGCTTGCCCAGCACTTCTTGAGCCTGAGCGGACGTGTAACAAAGTCGGCGATTGTGACAGAACCCATACCCATACCCAAGCAGACTTCCTTCGAAAGTACGGCACCACGGCACCACATGGTACCCATGGTATCACCGGGAAGGTCGTGGCAGGGCCATATCGAGAGGCACTTCCAGTGCCCGGAGAACACAGCTGGATGCAAGCGCGTGCGGCAGGTGGGCGTCTAGAGCATTCTGAGTTTTGAAGTCTGGGTCGGGGACAAATCTCCGGATTCCGAGTCCAGGAGATTTTCAGGTCTACGATCCCAACTCTCAAACCATCCCAATGTCGATCTTCGACCGGCATGTACGGTTTCTTTCTGAAGTATGGCAGGGACAAGCTTGGCAAGACGTGCAACATGTTCAAAGAGAGCTGCACATTCCCAACGCTCCATAAGTACTTGCCGAGATAGTCTTGCAGTCCCACAAAGGGCTGGCATCGGCCAGGTCGTGCAGGGCCTCTACCTTCGCAAGGAGGGCAAACCTTGCAGGGCAAGGTGAAAGTGAACTGAGCAGAGGGAGGGCTCAAAGAGCCGTTCTGATTTCCGGGGGAAGAAAAACTCTATCTCCAGCATACCGCACGTTCGGGCTTGACTCATATGGCCTCCCGAATGCATCACATATTTGTTGCAGTATCTTGCTCACGCTTGTTGGTGTACCTGTATTTCCAGGCCGTGGAAGATGTGGGGCCACACGAGAATGGGAGCAAGTCCCAGGATGTTCTTAGTTCCGCTTTGCGTGGTTGTGCCATCTTTGGCTGACAGGCTCCAGCCATCCACAGACTTCTTGCCTCGCATGAGATGGCATGTCAATAACTAGCCGTACTAGCCGTAAGTATGCGGAAGGGTCGAGCAACTCTCGATGACCGTGCCGCATGGTGCGGAAAAAGAAAGCTTTTGTTCGGCAGCCGGGATCTTCATCATGACCCGGTCTGTGATTGAACTGTGACCCCGCGTAGGCCCGGAAGAGCACTGCTGCTGAGTAGTGAGTAGTGGTTTTTGCATGTGCTGGATCCCGGATGTATGCTGCAAGGGCAGAAGCTCCGTCTCCTGACCACTAGTGGGTCCCGTCTGTGGAAGCTAACCTATTTGCTCCCCAGCAGCGCCGATATAGTATTAGCCACTACACGCACTCTCAGGATCCCTATGCCGAGAAATGGATGTATTTTTGCTCATGGACGAAGTCTTGCGTTCTCTGTGGCAGTGAATAACGTATGCTTCATGAAATGCAGGGTTTCGCCACGTTTTGCCCACGGCCTGAAAGGCGTCTGGTGGAGGATGATGGCGATGCTCGAAGGGCTGCCTTGCAGGAGGCTACGACGATCCTCGACCCTAAGCCCTAGGCCCGAGCTCAGGTTGGTTTTCCATGAATTTAGCAATGCCAAAGTTTCTGATCCATCCTTTTTTGGGGCACTGTGTCACTCAAAGTGTTGCGAGGGGTGAGTGTTGTTGGAAACCCCATGGTGTCTACAACATGCTTCGCTCACGACTCACGAATTGAAGCTGTCGGTGATTTTGGCTCAAGCACTGTGCAGTTTCAAGACACAGTGCCCTGGAGTGGTCTGGTATTTTATAGGAACTTGGCAGTGACCGCCCCGTACTTAGCGTCCGGCACTGCAGGTATTCCGTTTTAGCTTCTACCTCACTTCAAAGCTTAATTTCCTTGGTCCAGGGAATTCAGCAGAGTCTTGAAGGCAGAGGCTTTTTTTGGGTTTGCGTCACTCGGGGACACTCAGGAAGTTGATGCCCAAATTACAACCTGTCTGTTGTTGTATGCATCGATTACTGGTGAATGTTTGTATTCATCCATGCGTGCACGCATCTATGTCTGTCTGCCGGTCTGTCTGTCTGTCTGTCTGTCTGTCTGTCTGTCTGTCTGTCTGTCTGTCCCTGTCACGTATGTATGTATGTATGTATGTATGTATGTATGTATGTATGTATGCATTTATGTATAGGTGTGTGTGTGTGTGTATGCGTGTGTGTATGTACGGATGGATGTATATGTTATGCATTTGTGTGTTTGTATGTATGTGTATTTGCATGTGTATGTACAGGTATATGTATATGTAGATGTAGATGTGTCTGCATGTATGTAAGTATGTCTGCATGTATGTACGTATGTATGTATGTATGTATGTATGTATGCATGTATCACAGACAGTTGACAGTGACAGGATATGTTCGCATACAGCCTGCGGACGTACGGATCCGTCGGGGCAGTATTTTTGGGCCACAGCCCCCAGGATGCATAGGTGATCAAAAAGCATGCGGGCAGTGGTGGTAGCGACGTTGACATGCGCACACCAGCCACTTGCATGTGAATTTGCTTGGAGCTGGGTTTGAAGTCTCGGCCAAGCGATCCGAACCCGAACTTCCAAGGCCCTGTGCTTGTAGCGCCGGGGCAGTGCTGGCCAGAGGCCTGCTGCCCGCCAATGCTGCCGGGGTTCTGGGAGCTTCAAGGGCAGGGTACAATAGAACCCATCCGGAGCTTTAACTTTACACCGGTTTTTGACAGTGGAGGGCTAGCTCCGCAGGCCCCAAGAGATCCCCCCACTTTTCAGCCCAGCCCCTAAGACTCCGCAGCTTCAACGCATCGTGGCTATGACTCAATACAGCGAGGCACCAGGCTCCGGGCCAGCAGAATGTGCTACTCTGTTACATGATAGTGATAGTGCATCATTCATTTGATGGTTGGCTATTATAGGTTATAGTGCATTATTTTACTGTCGTGTTTTAAAAGACCCTATGAAACCCCAACAGTTTGGTCAGCAAGCCGCCGACTCCATGAGGCAAAACAGTGAGCTAATCGCGCGTGCGACAGGGGACAATTTTCTTGCTATCGCCCAGCTCACGCACAGCCGCTGCTGGTCAATCGGTGCAGTATGGATGGCTCGGGGCCAAGCGATGGGTAGTTGCTGGCGTATGCAATGGAGACGACATTCATGCAAGCATGTTTGTCCAGACTCGCTTCTGCCATCAGTTGCAGGTGCATGTAGGGTCATATGGCTCATGTCACACTTCATTTGTCCGAGCCTACTCTGCACATTTGTCTTTGGCTCAACCTTTGGGGCCAAGCTGTTGCACCCTCAATCGTTTCTGTACGTGGCCGTTTCTCAAGGCACCTCGGTTGCCTCTCCGCTTCATAGATCAGCGGCTGATCCGCGATCATGCCGTACACAAATCCGTTCCCATGGCTGCCGCCGCGATTTGTGAACGGCCTTTTCCCCTATGTTCGCTGGACGTTGCTCTGGTTTTACCAGGCCCGGTGAAGACTTCGGTTCCGAAGTGAAGCGGACTTACTTATTATACAGAGAGAAAGAGAGAGAGATGACATCCGGTCTGTGCAAGCAGAATCTTCCACCTATGCTACCTCTGTAGGGGTTTGATTCAACGCTGTGCCCTTGTCTCATCTCTGACACCGACCGGACGAAGAGGAGAGCTGCACATTTCTTTACTTTCGTACCCTGCAATCCGGAGAAGCTCAGCGAGAAGTAGGGTCCTGATAGTCGTACCGATTTGCAGTCCCCGTCATCTTGCGCAATAAACACCCCCTCGAGCTGTGAAGACCCAAAAAAACCCTGGTCCAAACCGACTTGTAAAAACCAGGGCATGTGACGGGGGAGGCCCTCTGTAAGCTTGAACTTGGACAGCACCAATCCACCGGTTTGTGCATACAAACAATCTACACATGTCACCTCCTTATGGGTCCATGCGCTGCCGTGCCTTTGTGGTAACCACCGACACAGACCGGGGTAACCAGTGCACCAACATCAGAGGGTCATTCCGTCAGCCTGATGTAAGCTCCAGTTTATCCCTTGTTCGTCTAGGATCGACACTGTCTGCTTTGGTGATGTTTTGAATCGTGAAACAGGCGATGGATGCACCCCTACAAGACTTGTACATCAGGCTTCCAACACTGGCCGATGGGAGAGTAATCCTTTGTTGCAGGGACACGCCTAACAATGCTTATATGGGGGGGGGGGGGGTATACACTTTTAGTCTTTATATGAAGGTTTGCTCTAAGCCCTCGTTA